CCTTCTCATTCCGTTCTAACTACTTGCCCTTCTCCCAAAGAGACTATCCACTTGTATTTTGTTTCCTACAGAGTGAATTCTGTTTAAATACAGTTTTTAGCTTAAATAACTTCAATGTATAAATGAGGGGAAAATTTACGGAAATATGATTTGAAATGATCTTTATCTAACCTTGTATCTTTAGATAGTTCTGACAATTTTGAGAGCTACATTTTAATTTCTAAGTTTTTTTTTTTTTGGTGAGGGGTACCAGGGATTGAACCCAGGGCACTTAACTACTGTGCCACATCCCCAGCCTTTTTAAATATTTTATTTAGAAGCTGGGTCTCACTAAGTTGCTTAAGGCCTTGCTTAATTGCTGAGGCTGGCTTTAAACTCAAGATCCTCCTGCCTCAGCCTCCTGAGCTGCTTGGATTACAGGCGTATGCCACTGCACCCAGCCATAAGGATTTTTTGATTTTCAGAGATGCCAGATTTTGAAACTAATGTAGGGAGTTAGAGCATTCTACTTGTAAGCATTCCATCTCCTGGGTGTGTTTCTTTGTCTACATGTTCATAATACTTTACAGATCAATATTTATTATTTCCATGTGTCATTTTAATACATGTCTTTTGAATCTATGAATTTGTTTTGCTCAGAGGCCCATAAATTGGATATAAAGAAATGAGAATGGAATGGCATGAAGGGGCTTCGTAGTAGATGAATTTTGAGGGTATTTCACAGGAATTGCCCAGGAAAATAAGCAGGAGTATATTCTGAAATGCCCTTATTGCTTCTGAAATAATCTTGGCTTTCTAGGGTGTGTTCAATTTCATGTTTGTGAAAGAGGCTTTAATGAAGGCAATCCAAGTTTTAAATCGTCCAACAAGACATTTCTGTTTTGGCTTAGTGGAGGCTGTTCTTTTCTGAATAGCTGCATTTTATGAAATCAGGTTAGTGCCAGCCAATTGGACACGATTAAATTGCTTCAAAAGATGTGCTAGAGCACAACGCTCGCTCTCTCATGCTAGCAGAGGCTAGTGGTGCTGCACATGTTCCCAAGACATGTGCTTTCCACAGGGGAAATGATTCCTCATTTCTCTGCCACCTTTCCGGTTCAGGATTTACATTGAGATTTGTTGCTAAGTTCTGCCAAAAGAATGCTCAATATGCATTTTCAGCGGGTGCAGTGAAAACATTTTCAAGTCGGTTTCCCTGAAGATTTATCGCGCAGTCTTGACGTTTCTGGCGTTGCTTTACTTCTCTTACCATCCCAGCAATGAAGTTCCAGGCGAGGCCACAGGCAGACCCCTGGATCTGTAGGAGCATGTCAGAAGCATTTTAAGAAGAGCCAAATATTTAGAGGAAGAATTTGGAAAAGCAGCCTTAAGGGGTTTAACACATTTTTCTCCTCCTAATTCAGTCCCGTGTTTATCCCCCTCACAGAGAAAGGTCATTACCGGGTAGGATTTGCTAGGTTTGGTTAAGGTTTGTGGAAGTGAAACGGTTTTCTAAAATCTGAGTACATTTAGGGGAGGTGGATTTGCTGTCAATGACACTCATCCATGAACTACCTATCTAAATAATCTAATTACTTGTAGAGGTTGTGCTGGGTGCTTACACATTTGTATTTTGGAGAAATTAAAACCACTAATTGGCTTAATAACGAGAGGCGCAGTAGCTAGAGAAGTTTTGAAGTTCTGTTTAAATTTCTAGGAAGGGCAAAGGATTGCTCAGGATAGCATGACAGAGTTTTGGTTATTTACTACCAGTTTGCCAGTCTGATAGGCCTGGGTCAAGGCTGCTTACTTTAATTGTTGTGGTGTGTGTGTGGGCGCGGAGGGCGGGGGCATTTTATGCTTTTTCCAGACTTGTTACAACTTTACTCTCTCTTTTTTTTTTTTCCCCACACCAGGGATGGAACCCAGGCTTGCTTTATCTCTGAGCTACCTCCCCATCCCTTTTTCATATTTTATTTGGAGACAGGGTCTTGATGAGTTGCTCAGAGTCTTGTTAAGTTGCTGATGCTGGTTTTGAACCCATGGTCCTCCTGCCTCAACCTCCTGAGATGCTGAGATTACAGGCCTGCGCCTCCATGTTTAGCACGTTTTTACTCTTAAAATTGAAAACCCACAGGCTAATTCTTGTTCTTTGATTGATTTCCTGTCCTTAGGTAATAGGAGGCAGGGAAGTGCATGTGTTTGTTGGGGGAGGGGGGATACAAATGCAGGGTTATTGAAATGTGAACTTTTATTTTTCTCTTTAGCTGTATTGGGAAAAGGAATATATAGAGTGTTTATAAATTTTCAAAACGTTCATCTTTTATGGGCAAATACTTCATTTCATATCAGCTACTGATTAATCTTTAGATGTTGATTTGACTTTGATTTCAGAGTATTTTAGAAACATTATCTTATTAACTTCTTATAAAGATCTCTTTTTGGGGGAATCTGTTTTTAAATCTGATTTCATTGTACATTTTTTTTTTTGGTTAAATGGAAAGATCTTATTTATCCTTTGATAAGATGATAGGTATTCATTTCTTTGTCTACTCTGTGGATGAAACCTACATAGTATTGTATACGTGAAATGTTTTTGAAATTAGAAAGTCAAATGTTCTAAAAAGAGGTTAAGGAAATAAAATGCTGTAATATATTTCTTTTTTTTAGAATTATTTCTCATTTTATGGTTGACAATTCTTAAATGTATGTATGAATGTTATGAAATTGATTTTAATATTTAAGACTTTTTTATTCATAGGATTAAATATAATGGATATGGCAAAATTTACAAAAATAAGATTGTTTGAAGATGGTGGGACAAATAATTAGATTTTCCAAGGATCTGAATAGAGATATTTAAAATTAAATTCCTTTCAGTGAGGCCAGCATAGTGCCCTCTACGGGGTGATGTGTAGTAGTCACCTAGTACACTGATGTGATCTCAGCTTTGTCCCTGTTGGGTATGAAGGTAAAGGCTGGGACATTCAGAGTGTGTAAACAAGGCCTCCGGGTTAATAAATGGCTTATGTGTGGCATTGATCAGATAAGGTGTAAAGGCTGAGATCGGGGCTAATGCTGTCTTCATTGTCCTTTCAGCAAGAAGGTCACCCTCTCAGCGCCATTGACATCAAGAAGTTTCTTAGAGAGCAGTTTCGTTTTTTTTGTACTAGTTGGCTTTCTTTGTGTCTCGTGGTCCGGCTCCGATTACCTTTATGGATCTATAAAAGGGCACTCTTTTCTGGTGTGGCTGCTCTGTCTGTTCCAGGAATGACCTTTTAATCACAAACTCTGCTTGCAGAAGGGAGTGGAGATCAGAGCTATCACAAACTTGATGCGTTAGCTGTCCGTCACTATAATGAAATCCCTGAGGTATTTAACTTATAAGGGGAACAGTTTATTTTGGCTTGTGGTTTTGAAGGTTCCACTCCATGACTGAATGGACCCATGGCTTTGGGCCTCTGTTATCAGTGCTACGCGGAAATAATAGGGAGTATGTGGCAGCAAAAACTGCCCACTCATGGCCAGGAAGCCAAGAGAGAAAGAGGAAGGGGTGTGGGGAGAATCCCACAATCCCCTTCAAGGGCCCACCTCAAGACCTCAGTACCTCCTACAAAGTCTCACCTCCTAAAAGTTCCAGCACCTCCCAGTAGCTCCAACTAAGGCTTTGACACAGGGACCTCTGGGGGACTTTGAGCATGCAAACCACAGCACTTTGGTGGAGTCCTAGGTGAAGTCTAATGATCCTACTGGGGTTGGTGAGAGGGTTCTAGTTCCATGTAAAAGGCAAACGCTTCAGAATGGAGCACAGAGGGCAGAGCACAAGGGCCTTTTCTGTTTTTATTTTGTTCTCATGCTGAGGGAGTGGAACAGGCAGTACATGGACCCAGAGGCACCCAGGGCCTTCTCAGTGTTCCCGGGAGTCCTCAGGCAACTTCCAGAACCAGATTATTAACTTGCAACTTTGTAGCTTGAATCCAGCAATGACTTTCTTGCTGGTTTTAGTTGAACTTTGGAGAATAGTTGAAGAAGGTATAAATGGGAGCAAACACAAGGGTAAATGGACATTTGTTTATCTTTCTTATTTACAGTTATCCTACGATAATTACAACAGCAGTGAGCTCAACACCAGCTCTTGTCAAATGGCTTGCCTTATCTTTGCAAATCTTCACAGTACTGGGACAAGCTGGCTAGTGTTCATCCTCATTTTACAGATGAGAACCATGAGATGTTAGGATGACTAACAAGTCACAAGTTAGGTGGACTGGGATGTAGCCAGTATGGTCCTAAAGTCCTTTGCTCTTTTTTGTTATGCCATGTGACTTCCTGATATCTAATTTAATCTGTGTACATTTTCAAGGTTGTTTGGCTTTTTAAAGTCAATTTTATTTTGTTGGGACTTGGAATGAGAATTTGTAATCAAAACCAAAGTTGCTATATATTTTTTAAACTTCTCTGATTTGTCTACTTGCAAAATGTTTGCGTAGATCAAAATCCTTATAAGCTTATGTCAGTCTTCTAGAGGAAAATATGTTACAGAATTAACTATAAACTATTCTCCTTTTTTTCCTCCCCTTTAGGGTGTAGAGCCTGTATAAAAAAGGAGAAGTCTTTGAGGTCTTTAGTTTTTATTTCATAATTTTGATTTGTGTATTGAACATGCAAACATTTTAATCATGCTTGAAATTTTGCTTAAGATGCAACCTAAAGTATTGTGTAGCAGGAAGCAAGGTCTTGATTTTATCACACAAACGTACATTTAATAGCAAGTACACTTGGGCTTGGGGGACACAGCCAGGTCCCTTGGGTGAGGTGCCCACGTGAGCCTCCCTCTGTTGGAGGCGTCGGCAGGCTCCTCTGTGATGAATCAAATCATTCTTCTATAACTGTCCATCATTGTGCCTCACCATGCTGTACTCAAGAGCCATTTAAACTTCCCAGGCTGGCAGTGAGCTCATTTAGTGCACTTACCAAGGTACGGATACTTACTTTCTCCCTTTTTCTCCTTTTCTATCCCACAGATGAACATAATGATGTGCAGAAGAAAACCTTTACCAAATGGATAAATGCTCGATTTTCAAAGGTAAGTGAGACTTGCACAAACATTCTGGTGTTTCAGATGCCTCATTCGGATGGAGGAGTTCGGTTGGAAGTCCAGTGGATTTTCCCCATGAAATGTGACCTAGCAGGAATCTCATGAGTGTGTAGATGCATTTTTTTCTTCCTTTATTCTCTTCTAAAGTCTGTTCAAAGGGGAAATCTGCTCTGAATAGTTCATGCAATGCTCTTTATTTTTACCTGGTGTTCTCCAGATTTCTAAGAAAGTTTGCTGCTTTCAGTTCTGTGAATTTTGGGTACGTTTAGCAAGAGGATATATAGTAGTGGGAAAATCTTGGGTTCATTTAGCTAAAAAAATATGGTGGTTTCATTTTGCCTGGTTAAAATCAATCTATATTATTTAGGCAGTTTTCTGCCTAAATGGACAAGAATGAACAAATACTAAATACCAGTTGGTCATTAATGTTTATCTATCCTGTGGGTTCTTTTCTTGTATCCTTCCTCATTTTTTTTCTCCCAAAGATCTGTTCTTTCTCAGCATTTCTAACTACTTGGAACATGATCTGGGCTTTGATTAATGCTGTCTTTAGGGGCAGAGAATGAAGTAGTGAGGAATTGGCAATGATCTTTCCAAATTTGTTTCAAATGTGGTTCTCTATTGATTACAGAAGTTGGGATTTTGTCCACCAAGTCTAAGGTGGGCTGTCTCCAGGTTAAGTCATTGTAGGACTCTGTTTTAGCAAGATGAAAAATAAAGGTTTCTCAGAGAAGTACTAAAGTGGTCTTTTAAATTGTATGAAGCCTATTTCAATTAAGAGTAGTTTTTCAAATTTTTCTGCTTAATACATTTATAAAGGTCAGGAAAATAAACCTTTGTGTTTCTTTGAGGTAAAATAAGGATATTTTAAGGGTAACTGAAGTAGCAGCAGTTTAAAAATTGCATCACATCCCTTGAGCTGTGTGTGTTGGTATGCTCCTGTAGTTCCAGAGTTTGAGGCCAGCCTGGGCAATGGAGGGAGAACCCACTTCTTTAAAAAAATTGTTCAACATCCTAGTATTTATGGCTGATTTCTTGATTGTGTGTTTCTTAGGTTTTGCAAGTTTTTCTTTCTTTCTTTCTTTCTTTCTTTCTTTCTTTCTTTCTTTCTTTCTTTTTTTTTTTTTGAGGGATATCTTATCTTGCCTAGGAGAATGTGAGGAATGTGAAAACTGACTTTGATGGATGAATTAAGAGTATAGTGAATGGGATTACAGAGGGGCTCATCTAATCAGTGATTACATGTCTGGGATTATGCCACAGCAGAGGGATTTTTTTTTTTTTTGGTAAAATTTAGATTCTAAAGACACAAGTAACAGAGATATTTAGAACTTGACAACATTGAAATTTTTTTTTATCTGCACGAGAGTACATTTTGAGCATCTTAGTTTCAGCAATTCAGAGAGCCTGAATCTGAGGAGATTTCTCCCAGTGATCCCCTGAGTGCCCATGTGGGTAGGATTGCTTTTGTACTTATTTTTGAGACTGAAGAGAAGCAGACAGTTCAATCAAACATGGAAGGGTGTGTGTAAGGTGATGTATATGACAATTGAGAATAAATGATGGAAAAAAACTTTCTTAGTGTTTGTGATAGGCCATTGACACCTTCGGAGAGACACATAACACAAACTCCTGTAGTACCACAATGGTTTATTAAATGAACTTGATGCTTAAATCTGTTTAAGCATCAAGTTCATTTAATATAATGAATATTTGTAATATAGGTATATTATTTTGTGATATAAATGGAGGCTTTAACCCCATGTGAGTTATTTGTCCCAGGACGGTTATAATTCTTTCGAATTTGTATCATTTTTACTAAATGTTCTAGCTATGGAATCTGACAGAGGGGCAGAAACCTTGTTTTATATGGAGAAAAAGTATCAAGTGGGATGACCTTGAAAACTTCAGATTATGTCTAGTAAGAAGTCAAAGTCTGGGAGGAATTTTTCTAAGAAATTAGGAGGATTTGGATCTACCAAGATGGAGGGCTTGTGACAGTAACACTGAACTTCATCCTCTCTTTTCCTTCCCTCTGGCTGTCTTCAATCCACCACTCAGCCTTCTTCCACACTGGGGACACAGGACAGGGCCTGTCACATTCTAGGCTGAGGTTTCCAGGGACTCTGTGCGCCTTCACCCTTGCTGAGATAGGGAAAGGCTGCATTTCCCCATGGTATCATTAGGTCATCTAGAGGCTGGCAAAAGAAAAAAATTCTGTTGAGGGTACTGAAGTTTGTTTCATTTATTTTTTCTTGATATCCTAGGGTACACTGTGCTTGATTTCCAAATATATGTTTTTTTCCTAGGGTCTGCTCCTTCTCTACAGTATGTGCCTCTGTGCTGAGAAATCCAGACATGCATCAATGGCATCTTCTGCCATTTAGAAATTTGTTTTAAAACAGACATCTCTGTTGTCTCTGAGAATGAAAGGAATGTGAAAACCTACTTTTATCATGGGTCACTGACATCTTCAAAACCAAGTAATACAAAATCCAGTAGTACCACAACAGTTTATTAAATGAACTTGAAATATAAATTTGTGCATTCGTAATCTATCTATTATTTTGTAATAATCCAAACGGACACTGATGGCATTATCTGTCATTTAGAAATTTGTTTTTTTTTGTTGTTTTTTTTTTGGTGCTGGGATTGAACTCAGGGGCACTCGACCACTGAGCCACATCCCTAGTCCTATTTTGTATTTTATTTAGCGACTGAGTTATTTAGTGCCTTGCTTTTGCTGAGGCTGGCTTTGGACTCGAAATCCTCCTGTCTTAGCTTCCCCAGCTGCTGGGATTACAGGTGTGTGCCACCGTGGCTGGCTAGACATTTCCTTTCTAGTCCTCTCTGCATCCAAAGTCTCAATTAAACACCAAATTTTGTTAATTTCAGCATTTTTTTTTTTTTTTTTTGGTACTGGGAGTCGAACCCAGGGACACTTAACCACTGTGCCATAGCCCCAGCC